GGAGGCCACACCCGAGGCCCGGGAATGTGTCGTGTTCCAGGGAGGCTGGAGGCCGAGCAGGGCGGCCGGCCCGCTCCCCTGAGACCTATAGAGGCAGCGTCTGGCGGGTGCGCGAGAGAGCTGACGGCGAGCTGGCTGGTGGACACGTTACCTAGGAGACGCTCGAAGGTGCCGCTGCCTCGCCCCATGGCGACCCCGCTCCGGACCGACGCCGCGGGCGCTCCCTCTTTCGGAGCTGACGCGCCCCCCAACTTCCGCTTCCGCCTTTCTGGGTCCGCGCGCGCAGGCGCACGTCGCCGCGCCGCGCCGAGACCGGCCCCCAAGCCGAGGCCTTGCGCATGCTCGCGGACTCTGAGCGGCCATTGGTCGGTGCGACTAACCAATGAACCGTTCGGGCGAGGGGTCTAGCCAATGAGAATTCGCCGGAGGCGGGCCTCCCGGCGTCGCAGCTCCGAGGGAACGGGGCCCGGAGGACCCGGGATGTGTCTCCTGCTAGGGGCTGCGGGGGTCGGGAAGACCCTGCTGGTGAAACGCCTGCAGAATATCCTTCCGCACCGTGTGGGTGGGCCGGGCCCCGGGCAGGGCTGGGGACGCACCGGGGTTCCTCGGGCCGGGAAACCCGTCCTCTGCCGCACTCAGGACCTTGACCGCCCGAACAGCTGAGCTCGGGAGATGGCAAGGGCGACTTGGGGGACCCTCCGCCGACGCGGCCCACAGTAGGTGTCCGCCTCTCTCGGATCTGACTCACACGGGTTACCTTGGCGACTTGACGTGGCCTCCTCGGGCTTTTCCAGGTGGAACCCGCGGTGCCGGTGGTCAGTGGGTTGGGTACTGTGGGTACTGCCTTCCGGCACGGAACCGCTGAGCCTGCGGGGAACCCGAAGCCCGCCTTCGTGTGGGCACTTTTCTCTCCTCTCCCCAGGGACTTATTTCACTGTCACCCTCAGGGCCCAGCTCTGATGTTGACCATGGCCTGGAGTCCCCAGAGAGCTGCTTTTCTTGGTGGCGAGCTCTGCTTGAACAGTTGTCACTAACCATCGAGGTTTAGCCACCATCTATCTCCCCCGACACACACACATACACATCGCGGAGCTGCTACCCAGGAGTTCACAACGGCACAGCGCTTACATTGATCTCATGCGTCGTGTTTCCTTCCCACATACACAGGTTGGCACCAACCTCACTGACATCGTGGCCCACAGGAAAATCACCATTCGAGAGCTCGGGGGTTGCATGAGTCCCATCTGGTCCAGTTACTATGGAAACTGTCATTCGCTCCTGGTGAGTCAGTACTTCGAGCTTCTTTTGGGAGCAGTGTGTGGGTCACCCCGAGCCATCGAGTAGCGGATCCTGCTATGGGATAGGGTTTTGGTGATTGCTCTAAGGAATAGTATTTGGGTTGCGTTGCTTGCTCTTAGTCATTGGTCTGAGCTCCTCAACAGGGTTCAGCCTCCATGAGATCTAATCTATGCTTTGGTACCTGAGTATCCAACCTGTCTACATCCTCATGGTCGTTCCCATCCCCACAAGGAAGGAGTTCCAAATTCTGAGATGGAGAATTAATGGCCACAAGAGTAGATTTTATGCATTTAAAGACACCACGGACCCCCAAGTCATCCTCATACAACTTCCCTTTGCTGCCTGTTTCCAAAACCTTTGGCTTAAAAGCCACTCTGGGGCCACTTGCCTAGCTCACTCGAAGCCCTAGGTTTGACCTCAAGCATCATAGATGATCATTTTAGAAAAGTTGTGTGTGCTCTTCCTGAGTCATGTGTGTGGTGCCCAGGTGGAGAGTTGGCCAGGAAAACCTTAGCTTATGTTTCCTCTTCCTAGTTCGTGATGGATGCCTCTAACCCCACCCAACTCTCTGCATCCTGCGTGCAGCTCTTGGGTCTCCTTTCTGCAGAAGAACTTGCAAAAGCCTCGGTCCTGATACTCTTCAATAAAATGTATGTGTCTAGGGGATGATGATGATGTTCCAAGGGGTTACCTCCTCGAGTGCAGCCTAGAACATGGGATCCAGAGTGGGGAGGTGCAGCTGCGGGCGGGGCAAATTTGATGAAGTGCTTCTTTAACCACAGCGACCTTCCCTGTTACATGACCGTGGAGGAGATGAAGTCAATAATCAGGCTTCCAGACATCATTGCTTGTGCCAAGCAGAACATCGCCTCTGCAGAAATAAGTGCCAGGGACGGCACTGGCTTGGCAGCAGTACTGCTCTGGCTCCAGGAGCAGCACAGATGAGCAGCTGACGGCTGGACGGAGCATTCTGGCTGACCCGGTGCCTGGAGACAAAGACTGACGTGACTGCCTCTGAAGATGCGTTCTGGTGAAGCAGACGCGCCCAGTGTGTCCCTGAGTGACCGACAGGGATCTGTGCATTGATCTGTGTGAGCACGTGTACAGACACTGCTGTCATCTGGCCCCTGAAGATGCGTTCTCTGAAGCAGACCCACCCAGTGTGTCCCTGAGTGACCGACAGGGATCTGTGCATTGATCTGTGCAAGCACGTGTACAGACACTGCTGTCATCTGGAGTATGTCATCTCTGGAGAATGTCCCCAAGACTGGGAGAGGACAGAACTGCAGGTGGTTGGATGTCTTCCTGCTATCCAGATGAAAGTGCTGCTGGGACTGCACCAGGAAACTCTGGACCTGTGCCTGAAGGCTTTGGACTCTACTGCCCCACTGAGCCTAGATTTTTTTTTATTTTATTTATTTATTAAAGATTTCTGTCTCTTCCCCGCCACCGCCTCCCATTTCCCTCCCCCTCCCCCAACCAAGTTCCCCTCCCTCGTCAGCCCAAAGAGCAATCAGGGTTCCCTGCCCTGTGGGAAGTCCAAGGACCACCCTCCTCCATCCAGGTCTAGTAAGGTGAGCATCCAAACTGCCTAGGCTCCCACAAAGCCAGTATGTGCAGTAGGATCAAAAACCCATTGCCATTGTTCTTGAGTTCTCAGTAGTCCTCATTGTCCGCTATGTTCAGCGAGTCCGGTTTTATCCCAGGCTTTTTCAAACCCAGGCCTGCTGGCCTTGGTGAGTTCCCGATAGAACATCCCCATTCTCTCAGTGTATGGGTGCACCCCTCGCGGTCCTGAGTTCCTTGCTCGTGCTCTCTCTTTCTGCTCCTGATTTGGACCTTGAGGTTTCTATGATTGTTTTTTTTTTTTTTTTTTTTAGTATAAGCTCTGCCCTTCTGAGTTTCTGATATCCTAACCATGTTCCCCAGAAAAAAACAATATAAAGTTAATGAGTGAGTATAAGAACTGTCTGAAGAGGGCTGGAGAGGTGGCTCAGCAGTTAAGAACAGTGGCTACTCTTCCAGAGGACCTGAGTTCAATTCCCAGCACCCACATGACAGCTCACACTGTACCTCCTGTCGAGGAATCTGACACTCTCACACAGACATACATGCAGGCAAAACACCATGAAAAAAAGTCTCAATGAGAAACAAAAACCAGGCAGGATGTGGTGGTACAGGGCCATGGCTTGAGCTACTCAAGAGACCAGAGTGCAAGGATCATTTTGAGCTCAGGGATTGAAGAATCCAGGCAACACTGGGGTCAGGAGAGCCTCTCTCAAAAAGATAGGGGTGAGGGACCAGGTGTGGTAGAGCATTTCTTGGGAGACAGAGGCAGGAGGACTTCTGAGTTCTGGGCTAGTCTGGTCTACACAAACACTGTCTAAAAAACAAAAAGATGAACCCAGCGGTGGTGGCACATGTCTTAAATCCCAACACTCAGGAGGCAGAGGCACTCTTGAGTTCAAGGCCAGCCTGGTCTACAGAGCAAGTTCCAGGACAGACAGGGCCACACAGAGAAACTGTATAAGGAAAACAACAGCAGCAACAACAAAAAGATGGGGAGGTTTGACATCACCAGAGATAAGAGTGTTTCCATTGCTTCATTTGTTCTTTTAAATATATAGTTTGTTGGGGGCTAGAGAGATGGCTCAGAGGTTAAGAGCACTAGCTATTCTTCCAGAGGTTATGAGTTCAATTTCCAGCAACCACATGGTGGCTCACAGCCATATGGAATGCTGAATGTGATAAATCTTTTTTAAAAAATTAATAATACCTAAAAGCATGGATGAGGGCATCTTTAATAAAAGTTGAAAGTAAAACATAACCAAAGCAATATGGGTGTGGGCTCTTTCTCTCAAGACAAGGTTTTGAGAAATCTTGTGTAAAAGTCCAAACTGTCCTGGAACTCACTATGTAGACCAGCCTGGCCTCAAAAATCACAGAAATCTGCCTGCCTCTGCCTCCTGAATGCTGGGATTGAAGGCGCATGCCATCACCACCCAACTGGGTATGGGCTCTTTAAACAAGAGTTATCCAGAGTTCTTCGATACACTTCACAGTTGGCTACAGAACTAGCCAGTTGTGTGTTAACTGGGTGGTTACATGGCTTCTGAAAAGAACACAAAAACTTACAGTTCTAATAACAGTAGCCTTGGGCCCTGGCTCTAGTTCTGATGCTTAGTGGGAAACAAAATGGCCAAGGCATCCAACTTATTGGCCCCTGCTAATGTTGGGTGCATGTCTAAGCACTCATCCCCCAGTCACCGACATGCACGGACTTGGACTGTGACCAAGTGTGTCAGAGAACAAGGACCCAGACTTCAAAGAGAGTAAAACTTTAATGTCAGTAAACTTGACTCTGGAAAATGCAAACTTGGAAGAGTCAAGGCACTCCGTGTGGGCTCCTTCACCAGCTGTTCTGGATGATGCAGGCTGTCCCATATACGGTCATATATGTGTTGTTTTATTGGGTGATGAATAAAGCTGTTTCGGCCAATGGCTTAGCAGAGTAGCCAGACAGGAAATTCAGAGAGAGAGAGAGAGAGAAAGAGAGAGAGAGCAGAGTCAAGGAGATGCCATGTAGCTGCCAAAGGAGAAAGACAACTCCAGAACCTACCAGCTTTGTGGTAATACACAGATTAACAGAAATGGGTTAATTTGTGAGAACCAGCTAGAAATATGCATGAGCCATTGGCTAAACAGTGTTGTAATTATTTTTTTCTTTTTTTTAATTTTATTTTTTATTTATTTATTTATTTATTACAGTGTTGTAATTAATATAGTTTCTGTGTGATTATTTGGGTCTGGGCAGCTGGGAAACGAACGAGCAGTCTCCTTTTACAACTATGAGAGATGCCCCTAGGTCTGCCAGAAGAAGCAAGGCCCAAGCATAGCTCTTTTGATGTCAACATGAGGGCGGTTTTTGTTTTTTGAAACATGGTCTCATGTAGTCATGACTGGCTTTGAACACCCAATTATTTTGCTTCTACGTCCTAGGTGCCAGGATTCTAGGGCAGGACCGCACTCCCAAGGTTTGGAAAGTTTCAAGGTTTCACTATTGTGAGCCAGCATCAGGTCCTCCCTCCTTTAATACTATGGGAGACACATTCAAACAGATTCCATCCCTGGTCCTCTCCGAAGGCCTGCCCCTATTTCCCAGAGGCCTGCTACGCAGGACATGGACCTTTTTCTACTCTCTCGGTATAACCACTCTGCCCTTCCTATCACTGAAGTCTGGTGTTTATACCTCAAGGCGTTCAGCCAGTACTGACACCCCATCTCTATCCAAACCAAACCTAGATGGGTACTCTGGCCTCTGTACACACCCCTGCAGGCAAACAAGGATTGATACACCTGCACTGGGTACATCTGTTCCCACTGTACTGTTACCCTGCCTTGCATGGCACTGAACCCATAGGAACCTCTTAAGACAGCAGGCTGACCTACAACAGCAGCTTCAGTAATCAGCTGCATTAAGGGATTGAGTCCTTTGTACAGTAGTCCTGACTTGTCTTCCTGAGACTTGCTTCAGAATGAAGCCAGGCTCAGGAAAACACTAGCCCCCTCCATCTGTGTCTCAGGCAAGTGCTGGGGGAACTTGCCCTTTATGAGGTGGGATTCACTGGTGGTCACTTTTAAAAGGATAACCTTCAGGGGACAGGGAAAGAAAAGCACCCCCACCCCCATACTGTTCAAGCCCCTATCCAGAGACAAGCATCTGCTGTCTTTCCCTCTGCCAGGTCTAGCAGCTAGCGGGCCAGTTTCCAGCGCATTGGTCCCCTGGGTCTCTGAGTCACAGACAAGTCTGCAGCTTCCTCTGAGAAGAGCAGCCAAGCGGGTGTGCAGATGTCACTTCCAGTCGCTGCAGCTTCTTCAGGGCTCTGTAAGCCTGCACAGCCCGTTCCCGCTCTTCCCCCAGAATCCGCTGGCGGGCCAGTGAGGTAGCTGGAGTCAGGGACCCACCACCAGTGCCCAAAAGCATCTTTAACATTAGAGACTTCTTGCCAGGCTGAGGAAAGAGAGAGAAGGTTTTAGCACACACTCACTAGGAAAGAAGGTGGCAAAGGGCTTTGATTGGTTCAGCAGCTCATAGTCCAGGACACATGCTCCCCAGCAGACACAGGAATGACCTAACCATCCCCACTCCCTGCAGCTCATAGTCCAGGACACTTGCTCCCCAGCAGACTCAGGAATGACCTAACCATCCCCACTCCCTGCATGCTTGGTCCCCACGTACCGCATCTCTGCCAATGCTCTGTCTAGGCTGGACCGTCAGCTCCGGGGGCTGTAGCACAACCTCTCCAAACTCCACAGTATCTGGAAAGTCAGTGAACAGAAGCTGCTGTTCAGAGCCAGTGGCATTTCTGACTCACTGCCTGTCCGCCCTTTCTTGAGGGCTTCAGGACTCACTCATCCTCAGGCCTACGAGTGGTGAGCCCCGAAGAGGCCAGAGGTACCAGCAAGGAGGTCTAGGGGAAAACAGGTAGCCCCGTGTGGACTACAGCTTCTGTCCCTGCTGTGGGAAGACCTACCTTTCAGCAGCTCCTGCTCCAGCCTGTCCACTGCTCTTTCCTCCCTTTTCTTCTGGGCTTTTTCAAGGCGCCGCTTCTGGAACCTGGGGGGAAAAGCACGTTTTTCAGACTCTTAAGTGCTGGTTCCATCTTAGGGGCAGCAGAGGTCAGCCTGACCTCAAGGGATGCAAGATATGGAAGTGGGAGGCAAAACCATACTCTGCACCCAACAGGCTCCCCATGGGTCCCCAGTCAGTAGTTGTCAGCCCCAGGGAACAATGACAAAGTCTAGACGTTCTGAATTGCCCACACAGCCTGGGCCCATAAGGTATCTACTGGAACAATGCCCTCCCATACTGAATGTCAGTTATGAGATTGGATCCACAGGCCTTGCAAAGTACTGTATGTGTGACACACCACACCTCTTTGTGAGCATTTGCAGACCCCGATGGCTCTGGCTCGTCTGACTGTAGTATTAGAAGGAAGTAGAAAGCAATCTTTTTACATCTTTGAAAGAACAGAAAGGACACATGTCTGCAGTACTAGTGAGGAGGAAAAGAAGACAATGTAGCCATTCTTGTTGGTCATCTTTTTGTTTGCAACATTGTCTGGCCCGAACTCACAACAGGCCCCCAACCTCAGCCTCCTGGATAGTGGAATTGTAGCCACAAACGACCATACAGGGTTGGAATGTTTCTTCAACTTCAGTGAAAGCCCAGACTGAGCCAGGCAGGTCTCTGTGAGCTTGAGCCTACCCTGGTCTACAGAATGAGTTTCAGGACAGCCAGGGCTACAGTGAAACCCTGTCTCAAGAAAACTAACAAGAAAAAAGAGCCGGGTGGTGGTGGTGTACGCCTTTAATCCCAGCACTCAGGAGACAGAGGCAGGATCTCTTCAAGGCCAGCCTGGTCTATAGAACTAGTTCCAGGATAGGCTCCAAAGGTACAGAGAAACCCTGTTTCAAAAAAGAAAAAAGAAAGAAAGCAACCTCAGGCCGATTCTTTCTGAAAGTTGAGGTTAGTGCATCTAAATAAATAATTTTTTTTATTTATCCCAGTCAGGGATGAAGGTATAGAACTTGCACAAACAAGACAGACTAGAGAGAAACCCACTACAGGACAGGTGACAGGCCGATGCCAGCCTCCCAGGGGCCACTCCACAAGGGTGATTCCCTTGGGGATAATGTCTTAGCAGACACCAAGCTACAGGAGCTTTTCCTACAGCAGTGTGTGCAAGGCAGATAACTGTCCCTTCTTGTCACCAGGACCCACAGCCCTGGGCCTCCCGGCTCAACTCACGCTTTCTTCCGTTCAGACTTCTCCTTCTTGGGAGCTGCCTGCACCTCTGGCTGCCGAGGGGCCTGGTTCTTGCTAAGGAACAGCACATGCTGGGCCTCCTGTTCCATGCGTTGGACGTAGGCCACTTCAGACTCCCCCTTCCTCTGCTTGAACTTGGGGACAACGATGTCTGTCTCTTCTTCCCCCTTTGCTTCCTTTTCCAGTGTCTCCTTGAAAGCCGCCTGGGCTGAGGACAAAGGACACAGGACAGAGTGGTTGGTTGGTGACCGGCAAGCAGCCCGTGACCATTTCCCCTCCTACAGCCACAAGAAGCAAAGATCAGGCTTAAGGACGAGCACAGATCTACAACATTCAGTTCAGGGCAGCCCTACAGATGTGATCTCATGACCCACTGGCTCCAGCCAACACAAGTGAGCAAAGAAGCCGGAGTATCCAGCATGGTGGCACACACCTGTAATCCTAGCACTTGGGAGGCAGAGGCAGGCAGATCTCTGTGAGTTCGAGGCCAGCTTGGTCTACAGAGTGAGTTCCAGGACAGCCAGGGATACACTGAGAAACCTTGTCTCGAAAAACAAAAACAAAAATACGGCAGTGTGACTGGCGAGATAGCTCAACCAGTAGGAATATGTACTCCTCAGGGTCGTGGTTTAGCTGCCCAGCAACCACACTGGGCAGCAAAGACCTGTAACTCCAGCTCCAGGGGAGCCAACACCCATGCACATTCCTGCTGACCAGTCACACTAGCACATACATAATTAATAATAAGATCTCAAAAGTCCAAGCGTGGTGAGTTACAAAAGAGCACTGCTGTAAAATCAGTACGACGCTGTCCTCCCCACCTCAAACTGTGTACTCCCGCCTCAAACACCTTGAAGGATTTGGGCAACTGGACAGATTCAGACAAGGCTACGCTGCCACCCAGCAAGGGCTGCTGCATACCCTCCTTCTTTCTCTTCTTGTTGCTGAGCTGCTTTTTCATCTCCTGTCGGCTCCTCATAATCTCTCGGAGTCGGAAAGGGATTTCTTGCTCATCTTGATTCTTGGGCTTGCAATTCACTTTCTTCTTTTCTTTGCTGGAAAGATAACCCGGGAGTGAGACCCTTCCCTAGGACAACATAAGCAGAAACAAAGTAAGGAAGAAGTGGTGCCGGATCCATGAACATACAGACGGTCCTCTCCTCACCCTTGACCCAAGCTGCCTTGAACTGGATTTTTCTCCGCATGCTAAGGCAAAAGTCCGTGGCCTCGTACCGGGAACGTGCCTCACGACAAACTTGAGGCACTCACCTCCGTTCATTCAACACATGGCTGAGCATGGGCCCGGGCTGAGTTAGGTAGAGAAGCTCCCAACTGGGTCCTCTCCCAGGGATGGCACCCACCTGCGCTGTCCTGGCCGTGAGGCCAAGCGCTGCTGTCCCTTCGCCTGCTGCTGCCGCCGTCGCGCGTGCGGCTGTCCCGAGCCTCCAGGACCCACCGCACGGGCGCCTCTTGCACGCCCGGGCCCTGCCATTACTACTCCTGGAGCTCCCTGCACGAAGCCATTTCCGCCCTCTTGCGAGACCCCGCCCCGTGAGCATCACTTCCGCTTCCCGTGCTCCTGCCCAAGCCATTGGCCTCGGAGTCTGCACCGGCTATGGGAATACTGCTGCGGAGCCTGTCCGGGGGAGGCCGAGTGGGAGCTGCGCTCTGCTACCCGGCCAGTTCTCGCGGGCCGAGTGGGCCGCACTGCCCCCGCTGGGTTGCGGGAGGCCAGCCAGCCCTTGGAAGATTCACGGTCAGCGCGCTCCCTGAGAGCTTTCTTCAGGTTTGGGCCCCAGACCAAATACCAGTTAGTGACCGGGGTCACGGGTGAACACTAGAGGCGTTAGAGGCAGAGATTGGGGTGACCCGATGTCCTCTGAGCTTCACTTGTGATGTCGGAAGACCGACAGGACTGAGGACCACGCGGATAGTCCGCGTGGTCAGCGGAGGAGTGTTTAGTGGCTGGAGAGGGTCAGCCAGTTCTGTGCAATCGTTTGGAACTCAGACCCAGTTCCTGGCACTGAACCAGGCCCTTAACACGTTTCTTCTCATACCAACCAATGTGTCCGTTTCACAGATAGGGAAACAGTGTACGGAGTGAAATATAATAATTTGTCTATTGTCCTGCAGGAAGTGAGGAGGCCGAGAAGGGTGAACATTCCCCAGTGCCTTACCAGCTTCCTGGAGAGTCATACTGCTTATCCCGTGTTCGCAGGGCTCACAACAGTTCTCGAGCTGGGGCAGCTGCCAGAGTCTTCCCCGAGGAAGACACAGTGTTCTTCACAGACACCATGCTCCAGTGCGAGCCACTGATAGCCACAGAGAGTTGGGGATGGACCACAGGGAAGAAGGTGCGGAGGATGACGGGGAGCCAAAGACCTCCCAGCCCCGGGAGAAGCCCCCAGACCCTCTGTCACTTGAGCCTCCCACAAACTGCTGCATGAGCGGCTGTCCTAACTGTGTGTGGGTAGACTATGCAGAAGCCCTGCTCAGACACTACCAAGATGGGGGGGAACAGGCCCTGGCCGTTCTAGAGGAACACGTGAAGGATGAGAACCTCAAGGCCTTCCTCAGGATGGAGATCCGGCTCCGGCTCCGCACCCAGAGTGGAGACTGAGCCAGTGTACGTGGGACTCTGGGCCGTGGAGGGATGCCACCCTTTAGAAGCACAGGACCACTTTTATTCTTGAGCCTGGAAGACGCGACAAGTCTGCCAGGAATAGGAAGTAATGTGTAAGAACTTCACCTCTGAATAAATTCTCTGCGCCAACCAAACTGTGTGGTCCCTCTGCCTGCGATGTCAAAGGAAGCATACCCAAGGCTGGTTGTGTGTTCCGGTGAGCAGCCACAGGTTTCCTCACCAGTGAAGATGAACTAAAGCCCTCAGTCAATGAACATCCTACAACAGGATCTCCTCAGGCCCCATTGTACCTAGGGTGTCCTGCTGACTGTCAGCTCTGGTTTCCAACTGTGCAGTAAAGGAGAACCATCATGTGGGAGGGGCCTAGCTGCTCCCTGTCTCCTGCTGGGTCCTGATGGGAGGGGATTTCTTTCTACCGTGTAGTAGCCTAGGGTCATCCCTTAAGAGTTCTGAATCCTGCTAGATGCAGCTGGGGTATCAAGCTCCAGAACCAACTGCATGGCACTAGCAAGGGCTGAACTTAAATGTGTTTGTGCCCACCTACTTTATTAAATGGGAAAGAGTTTATAAAAGGATTATAGAGTGACTTCTGTTGGGTTTGAGCTGATAAATAGGACTTTTTCCGTGTTTGGTGTTTTACACAGACCTGTGACAAAATTAAGACCAGAAAGTCGGGGCACTTGGCTAGTGGGGGACAGAACACGGTTCAGGCTGGCATCTTGGACAGATGACTCATGCTATCCAAAGAACATAGCTAGTGGGGGCTGGGCCCAATAAATGTGATAATGGTGACCACACCTATGAGGCCCCAGACTTTTGTATAGCTGTTTCCTGTAAAGCATCTCCTCCTTAAAAGAGGTTCTAAAGATAGTTGGTTTCTCTGTATAGCCTTGGCTGCCCTGGAACTTCTCTAAAGTACAGAGATCCACCTGCCTCTGCCTCTCGAGTTAGGATTAAAGGAGTCACCATACCTATTGTAAGTAGACATCTGTTCACATCTCCAGGAAATGTTAACACCAGTGGTCAGCATCTCCAGCATTTGACAATTGTGGCTAAGGCCAGTAAGGCTGTGCAGTATAAGATGCCCTTGAAGAAAACTCATTGGCCAGCCCTTCGCAGTGGGCCCAGGTCTGCTTCTGGGTAGTGACACTCAAGTTCTCAGACTCTGCCATGCTGGCCTGTATCTTACCGTGCCACCATTATACTTACCACCATGCATCTGTGAAATGCCCCACAGTGGCCCAGACACCAGTAGTATAATGTGCCTCCTCCTCCCAGCACTTCCGTGCGGAAGACAAAGGTTAACAGAATCATGCGGAGCTGCCTGTGTTGGCACATGCTTGTAATTCCAGTACTTGAAGGGCATCATCTTTAGCTCCATGACAGTTTGAGGCTAGCATGGAACTACATAAGACCATGTCTTTAAAAAGAAAAACAAGCCGGGCGGTGGTGGCGCACGCCTTTAATCCCAGCACTCGGGAGGCAGAGGCAGGTGGATCTCTGTGAGTTCGAGGCCAGCCTGGTCTACAAGAGCTAGTTCCAGGACAGGCTTCAAGGCCACAGAGAAACCCTGTCTCAAAATAACCAAAAAAAAAAAAAAAAAAAAAAAAAAGAAAAAAAGAAAAGAAAACCAATTCTATCCAAAGTTAGAGGAAACAGGCACAGGAAATGGAATACACAAGAGTCGCAGATGCAAAGACCTTGGGGTTGGAATGCAAGAGGCAGGACTGAAAGGCAAGGGGGGGAAAGGGGCTGTCACATAAAGCACCAAAGTCCACGGTTTCCTCGGTGGATGGGAGAGAAAGGGAATGGGTAAACCCAAGCAAGAACTGTCCGAAAAATGGCCCTGTTGTTTCTGGAGGTATCATCCCACGACTGGTGAAGATAAAACTTCCCTTCTTGACCATCTGCTGAAAGGGAATGTCCTTCCTTCAGGCCCTTGACTGCTCCTGAATTTCTTCTGCCCACCCCAGCATCCCAGCCAGTGGTGACTCCCTTAAGGCCCAGCAATCTCATTAGTGTGGCATCCCAGCAGAGTCATAATCCACTCACCAGGAGAAGAATAAATCCCTAGGCCACTGCTCTGCTGACCCAGCTCCAGCCGACTGGCACCTATGGCTCGCTGAGACCTGTCCAGTGCTTGGTGAGTCGCGACCCATCCCGTTGCCTTTTCTGACAGCCAGGTCTCTGCTCATTCAGAGTTGGGGTTGGGGAAAAACAATAGTTTTTTACCTCCTCTGCCAAGCTTTGGGTCTTTAAGAGTTCATCCCTTTTCCCTGTCCTGTGGAGAGGACATCCTGCCAATCACCTCTTCTGCTTCTCCACAATGTCAAATGGTAGTGCCTGTTACCAAGGCCAGCCACCTGACCAAACAGCTAAGTGGTACCGGCTTCAGGTTAGTCCGCAGTTAGGCATCTCAGGCATGGTTTCCATAGAGACTGCGCTGATTATTGGAGCTCTGTCGGGGGTTTATGGCCTTTGACTAGAGAAGTGTTTTACTACTGGGAAGTAAGGATGGGTGCCTCAGAAGCGAGCATCCTGGTTTCCTAAGCTCTTGAGTCCTGGTTCGCAGGCTGGTGCTGGCTTCAGGAACAGAGGCTGAATTTAAGAAGAGCAAGGGAAGCCGCTGAGATTGAAGTGAGCATCGCCTACTCTGCTGATCGGTTTCAGCCTTGATGATTCTGCAGACCACTGGCAGTAACTTAAGGCTGTTCCAGTACTATACCACATAGGACTTAGGGCAGGAAAGGGGACCCTAAGATGCAGTTGGTCTCTTGGACAGCTAAGGGTCGGAGCAACGCCTCCTGTCTGGGTCACCTGTTTTCAGCTGCAGGTGAGGTTTATTTAGGCAGCTTTCTAGAACTCTGGGAGATTAGGAGTCTCCTTCAGGTGCTAATAGGATTACAGAAGCTGTGCTGTCCTTGACTGAGGTCGCTGGGGCTTGGAGCTCTTAGGGAGAGGAGGGGCCATCCTATGTAGTGTCTTCTAGGTTGCAGCCTGATACAGGGCTGCAGAGGCCAGCTCAGTCTCTCCAGAGCCCTGATACATCGTCTGACTGAGAACAATCTCAAGTTAACGAGCCAGGGAGAAGCCTAAGGGAAGAATCCTAGTGTAACTGCTCTCCCTGAGACCTGCTTCTGGCTTGGCCCTCCGAAATGGAGCCATGAAAGTTAGGAGTACCCAGTTCAGCTGCTTCTGGTTCAAGGACAGGCCCCTTCCTTAGGGCATCGCTGTGTTCCATTTTGTGGAGCGTTATTTATCAGCATCAAGTCTAACCCCCAGGGACAGATAATAAACCAAAACCAACAAGTACATAAATACGAACAAACATACTTTAAAAACATGCGTGTAAATTAACTAGTTTAGCCCTAGATTGTGGTATGAAGAAATAAATTAGGACCTGGAAATACAGAATGCCATGACGTAGAGTCAGAAGAGGCCCCTAGAGTCAGAGAAGGGGCCAATGAAAGCAACCTGGGGCTGATCATCTGGAAGGGAAGGGAAGAGGCTGTGGGGCTCATGTACAGGATCAGGAAGGGGTGTTCTTTGTTTACCCTCCTAGGTGTCCTCAGAAGGCTTTCCACAGAGTGACAGGCTTGAGATCAGATTCCAGTGGATGAGAGGGAGGGAGGGAGGGAGGGAGCAGGCACCAGTGTGGGGGCCAACATCAAGGTGTTCAAGGGGAGGTAATAAAAAGCCCTGGTTTAGGACATGGGGGGGTCAAAAGGGTGTGTTTGTTAGTTAGGAGTATGGGATGGGCACAAGGTAGTTCATGAGTTGTGTGTGGCTGTTAGCAGTGGGAGGTGCCTCATGGTATCAGAAGGAGAATGCTGGAAAGCCCTGGTGGAGCCAGAAGGTGATTCTCTGGAGGGGAGGCAATGTCTCAGGGTGGCTCGTGGGTGTCAGGCCCTCTGTTCTTAAGGTTGGAAAGGAGGAGTAAGGGCTAATAGGGATCCATCTGTCTGATCTTCCCCAGCCTGCATGAGGAACACAGACCAGCCTGACAGAGCCCAGAAGCTAAGGGTCACTGCAGTGTCTCTGCCAGCCTCACCATGAACCTGGAGCCACCCAAGGCCGAAATTCGGTCAGCCACACGGGTTATAGGAGGACCAGTTACACCCAGGAAAGGACCACCTAAGTTTAAACAACGGCAAACCAGGCAGTTCAAGAGCAAGCCCCCCAAGAAAGGCGTCCAAGGGTAAGCAGAACGACAGAGGAGAACCTTTCACAGAAGGAACACTGTTCCTAGACTGCATGGGAGGACAAGGCAGGGGCTGGTGTGGAGCTCGGGCCATGGTACTTTGTGGTACATCTTCATCCCGATGACCAGGGCCTCGGGAGTTTTGGGGGAACCAAGGGCCTGTCATTTACTCCAGGTGCTGCAGCCAGGCAGGTCTGGAAAGCAGACTGACCAAATCTCCTCAGGGATGTGTGTCCACCCCACCACATTCCCCTGTGCACACACACACACCTGCGTGTGAACACCTACAAGCATGGCTTTAGCCAATTTTCTGTTGCTCTACGCTTTACGTAGAGATTTGTGTGCCCTTGGGTTTGGAGACAGAAAGCTCCAGGAAGGGTGGTCTCAACGTTTGGCCTCTGGTAAAGACCTGACAGTTATACCACAACCTGGAGGATGGTATCGCAGAGAGGAACGAGTCTCTCCGTTCTGGCCACCTCCTCTGTAGAGTCATAACCTTGTCCTGTGAGGATGGCATCTATCCATAGTAACGATTCCCCACGTGAGGTTCAGAGACCCACACTTCTCAGTACTGCTGCACCCTGGAGACCAGTGTCCAGCATGTGTGCCTTTCTTATTCATTCATTTATTTATTTATTGGTTTTTTTCGAGGCAGGGTTTCTCTGTAGCTTTGAAGCTGTCCTGGAACTAGCTCTTGTAGACCAGGCTGGCCTTGAACTCACAGAGATCCGCCTGCCTCTGCCTCCCAAGTGCTAGGATTAAAGGCGTGCGCCACCACCACCCGGCTCACTTGTGCCTTTCAGGGACAAGTCACAGCTGACACACTGAGACACACACAGCACCCTCTAGCACACTCCTGCAGAGGCCTACAGACCATACTCAGGCAACATTGCATGGGTTCCTGCCCATGTGTACCTGGGCTCACTCTTCCCTTCCCGGTCCTCGGCCTGTGAATCTCTGGGAAGCACACTGGCCCCACGATGGTGAAAGGGAGCCCCCAGTCCCTACCCAGTAGCAGATGTTGGGGAGACTTCTGGCACCCAGGGGTGGCTCCATCTAGACCTGGAGATATCATCCTTGACCACTCTGTCTTCGCAGGTTTGGGGATGACATCCCTGGAATGGAAGGCTTGGGTACAGGTATGACAACCCAGGATTGTTGCAACTGGACAGTCCTCCTAAGTCCCCTATATCCCTCAGACATACTCCCACAGGCCCTAGGTTCCCCTCTATTGCTTAGCCTGCCTCCCATCCTGTCCATATTTCTCTCCCAACATCAAGTTTTAGATCCCCCTGAGAGGGGTTGTTCCCATGAGGCAGGTTCACCAGACACAGAAGGAACTTTTGCTGGTCCTTCCAACTTCAGCAAAGGGTCCCTTGAGCTCTCTATCAGGACCTCACTACTGGAGCCAGGACCCAGAAGACAGAGTTGGGGCTTCCTGCCTAGGAGGATTTGCAGCCAGAGCTTGGCCTCTCGTCCTAAGCAGACGTGTCTTTTACTTGGGGAGTAGAAAGCAAGGCGACAGGGAATGGGGTGGTCCTGGGGCCATGGAGTCCCCCTTAATGACACCTTTCCTGCAGACATCACTGTCATCTGCCCATGGGAGGCCTTCAACCACCTGGAGCTGCATGAACTGGCCCAGTACGGCATCATTTAGTCAATCCCAGCTGTGAGAGTCCTGTGAAGGAGGCCTGATGAAGACCCACGCTGCCCCACCACCTCTATAAACCCTACCCAGGACCCCTGCCCAAGCCTGAATCCCAGCCTGAGTCCCTAGCCAGGTTGCTCCCAGCCTCCAGGGGGGCAACTTCATGCCCTGATACTAGCTACCAAGAGCCTACAGCCTCCCACAGGACACTCTGGTGACCTGAATTCATGTGTTAGAAGGAAGGGAGGGAGGGGGACCCAGCACCACCTCCTGTTCTTATGTCTAGAGTACAGGGATGAGCTCCCCAGAAGTGTTTCCCTACACTGCCTCCTGTGGACAGGAGTTCCTCTGCCCCGCAACCCTTCCCGATGGACGTCTGGAGGTGGGACACTGTCCTGGGGTCTCTGGTGAGAGAGGCTGAGGCTGCACTCTTTATACCAGCCTTCCCAACACACTCTGTCCTAGTCCCTGTTTCTAAATAAAATTAGCATCTTCTTGCTTACCCGAGGTGCACTGATGGAGTATGGTCCCTACAGCAGGGTTGCTTTAACTGCACCATGGAGGAGGGTTCAGAGCGTGTGAAAGTGGGAGAGACTGGCAAGAAAGAGAAACAGAAAACTCCCACTAACCAATACTCCTCAGAGGCTTGGCCTAGAGGTGCTGGGTATATGAGCCGGGCCCTGCCCCTCACTCCTGGTGGCCGTAGTCAGTGAAGCAGACTCCCCAAGAAGATAGGAAAGGACAAAAACTAGAACCCTAAACACAGACACCCAATGAGCAGCCCCACGGCCCAGCAGTCCATCCTAAGACCAAGCTGAGACCCACCGCACACCCCAGTAACCTGAGGATTCCACATGTAGAGGTAAGGCATATAGGCACACACCTGGGCAAACACCCCCAAACACGCACAATATTTAGAGTAAATGTATGATTACTCCTTTCAATGTTCAGAAAATGGCTTGCAGAAGGGCTCTATGTGGCAGGCATTGTGGTGCACACTTGGAATCCCCAGTGTGAGCAGAAGGCAGAAGGGTAAAGGTCATCCTCAGCTACGTAAGGAGTTCAAGGCCAGCCTGCAATACATGAAAAAGAAATAGAATAGGCAAGAAAAAGACTCCACTTTTGAAACAGCCACAGACTGACCGTGCTGATTCTACAGGTGAAATCAGAGGGGGGCCGCCCTCCGCCTGCATCCGCCCTAGCTGGGAAATGAGGAATTGTCTCCATCTTGACTCAAAGAAGTCCCAGTCATTGTGAGACCTGTAGTTTACTATGCAAATATGAATGCACACAGCAATACACAAGTCTTCCTCCTCCAAAACAGCTTTCTACAGAGCGAGGCCTGGGCTGCATCCTTCAGCTCACCAAAGGCCAGAAAGTAGGAGTAGACCCGAGAGAAGCCATTTCTGCAGAAATGGGGACCTAGAGCCAGTCAGGATGAGTCAGATCAGGGCAGGGGGCTGAGGTTCGAAGCAGGGGCCCTCAGCCCTTGATCTTCCTGCCAGCCTAGTGGGAAGCAGGTGTGCTCAGGAACAGACTATGGTAGCCTTTGGGCTTAGATGGGTCCTGAGAACTCAGGAGTGAAATCGTGAGATTGGGGCAGGACAGAGTCAGTCTAGGTGGGCCTTGGGGGACTGACAGATGTAGCAAAGAGGCAATGGGCCAGGAGCGGAGCCCAGGGGTCTGTTCCAAGTGAGTTTCCTTGGAAGATGAGGAGAGGCTTGGAACTTGGCCTGTATCAGGGTCTTCTCAGCTCACAGAGGTTGGGGTTCTGTGTCCTCTGCTGTCTTTGGTACAGCTAGGGCCCTTAGCAGGCAGGTGGCCAACAGGAGTTCAACCCCTTGGATGGCAACCACAGTGATGACACAGCCGCCTATGGTCTGCATGTTCCCTCGCAGCCACTGCTGCAGCACAGGCCAGCAGCCCTGCAGGTGCACCACTTGTCCTGCCGCATTCTGGTCCAGGTGCAAAACCCCAAAGCCGCACTGAGTGTTCACCAAAGCTCCCCCTTCCTGGGGGTTGATGCAGCAGGAGGCAGGAAGGCTGCAGGCTTGTACCCCGGGAGAGCTGCAGTTAAAGTACCTGCAGGGCACAAGGTTAGTCCTGGAGAGGAGGCCTTCAAACTTCTCTCTCTCTCTCTCTCTCTCTCTCTCTCTCTCTCCTCTCTCTCTCTCAGAGGCCTGCCTTCAAACTTTCAATCTCTCTCTCTCACACACACAGTTGCATACATATGAAGTGCATATGTGTGTATACACATGCAAGCACACATAGAAACCCTCAGTTTCTTGTACAGTGCTTACACCCTCTTGTGGACAGGGATGGGGGTCGGTGGGGTGTTGTGCCTATCTTGGCAGGCAAGGAAATGTTTAGTGAGGTAGTTGAAGGAAAGGTGGTGAGAAGACCTGGCTTGCAGACTTTCTCTCCGACACTGCCTGTGAGTTTATTTGAGCAGGCAGTGTCAGAGAGAAAGTCGACTGACTTCCCAGAGAAACTTCTAGATTGGGTTGCAATTAGAAGAGGGGTCAGAGGTCGGCAGCAAAAGGCTCAGAGCTATGAGGAGCCCCTGGTGGCTAACGAGCCTTGGCTGGGCTGCAGCTTTCCATGGGTCTAGACCTCACACACGGGGCTCTGACAACCACCCACAGAGTGTGCTTACTCTCTATGACCAGGTTTTCCAAGGAGCCCTGGGGGGACTTTGCGGAATTTTGGTAAGCACCACATATTGAAACTATGTTTTTAGAGCCTCTTCTGTCTCCATCCATTAATATTAATTGGCCTCAGAGGCTCCAGGGAGGGAACCTAATGTTTGTTCTGCGTGTCATAGGGAGGACAGGCACGGTTCAGGGTATCTGTGCAGTGGAGGATGTAGGCAAAACAGGGACCCTCAAACAAGAACATAAAATATCGTGTCATGCCTAAATTGGAAGTTTAATCATACTCTCAGGAACACATGCATACAGACCTGTGGAGTCACCGACTGATAGCCTGAGCTAAGCTAAAGTATTTTTCTTCACACTGAGATATCCTGAGATTAAAAAAAAAAGTACTTTTCTGGTGTCTTCTGCCTTGGCCTCTTCATTGGAACCCCGCAATGGAGGGGACATCATGGGGAAGCTGAGTCTGGGCTCTAGAGTTGGCCAGAAGTTGGGCTCATTCAGGTTCAAGGCCCATGGCCTAAGCAAAGGGTAAGTGCACACGTTTGCATGTATGTTTGCACGTATGTGATGTATGTGTGTGCTCCAGTATGGGGCTTCATTTTGTGTTTACATAAAAGGAGGTGATTGTGAAAGTGAATTTGCACGCACACAAGGAAATTTGTGTACAGGCACGTGGAAGTAGGAGTGCAAGGCATGTACGTGGTTGTGTGTGTACGCCAGAACACGCACACAAGAACACACACGTCTATGCATCCGTGCTCAAGCAGGTGAGTGAGTCATCCAGACCACCCTTCTCTTGCCCGTGAGGGGTACGAGGGACACTCACAGGTTCTGTTGCCAGTCCTGGTAGGAAACCACCCCACAGCACTGCAGCCCCAGCTGGACTTGGTCGAGGAGGAAGCACAGGTCTGGGTCATCGCGGTAGTGGATGATGGCCAAATGCAGGGCGTTCTTCAGGCCCTCCTGCAGTGGGCCCCAGAGGGCCACCACCAGCGTCCCTGCCAGAGCCTCCAGCACCAGGCAGCTGAGGACAGCTCCACAGTAGAAGCGCAGTAGGCAGCTGTTCTCACAGAGGGCACCCAGACATCCAGACAGGCTCACCACACTGACCACCAGGCCTCCTAGCACTAGCACCAGCATGGGGTCCGCCGGCAGGGCTCCACCCCAGCTGTTCTCTGGAGACCTTTTGACAGCCAGCCCCCAGAGCCCCGCTGCCAGGGCCACCAGGGCCAGCAGGGAGAAGAAGAAGTTAGAGAGGAAAGTCAGATACTTGACACAGTTACTTCCTATGGAGAGTGGGCGGGAGGAGGCCTGGCCTTCCTTCCAGGCCTGGTGCTTTGCCCCGGGACAGCATCTGCAGCCCCAGGCCCCTACCTGATCCTTCCAGAGTTCTGGGCCTAGGATGTTTGAAGTAGGTGGACTGTTCCTGGTGGGCGACCGCTCTTGGCCAGCCGTACCCTGCAGAAGGAGGGAAAACTTAGAGGATGCATTGGTCCTCGGCCACTCAGTCTGTGACTTCCAGCAAGGGGTGAGGCCTCGTTAGAGGGGAGCTAAGAGGATGGGGTGGGCTTGGAAGAAGCTTGTGGAAGGAAGCAAAGAGTTGAAGAATTGGATAGCTAGGGGCCTGGGAACCTGTGACCTCATCCTGCTTAGGCAGAAAGCAAAAGGGCAGTGAGGGGTCCTGGCTCACTGCCTGTCCGGGTGGCAGTGCCCTGGAAGGTCCATGGTAAAAACTGGATAGGACAGCATTTAAAAGGCCAGAGAGACGGCTCAGAGGTTGAGAGTACCGACTGCTATTCCAGAGGTCATGAGTTCAATTCCTAGCAACCACATGGTGGCTCACAACCATCTGTAATGAGATCTGGTGCCCTCTTTCTGCTGTGCACACGTTAGCAGAACATTGTACGCATAATAAATAAATAAATATTTTTAAAAAATGTTCCCGTGCTAGGTGGTGGCAGTACACGCCTTTAATCCCAGCACTCGGGAGGCAGAGGCAGGTGGATCTCTGTGAGTTTGAGACCAGCCTGGTCTACAAGAGCTAGTTCCAGGACAGGAACCAAAGCTACAGAGAAACCCTGTCTCAAAAAAAAAAAAAAAAGTACCCTCTTCCTTTCTTCCACACCCTCTGTGGTCTTGCTGAGGTGTGGTATTCCTGGGTCAGGATTTCACTCCTCCCACAGGGCAGAATAGTGGCAGGTGAGTCCACTTCCCCCGCATCTAGAATGGTCTCTCTGTTTGACGCAGTCTGCAGTGCCCCAGCGGCAACTTTGTGTAGTCCCAGGAGGGACTTTCCCACCCTGGCCGGAAGTGCAGGCTGCCTGGGACAGAGAAGCTGATCCTTGGAGCACCCTTGGTTCTCTGCGTCACTTCGCACCCGCCACCTGCACCGAGGCCTTTGGACACTTTGGTGTGGAGGATACAGGGAGGGACTGAGTCCTGCTTGCCTGGCTTCCTGGGCAGGGAGAGGGGCAACCAAAAAACTGGGGCAGCAATCTAGAGAAGGCAAGAAAACAGGCCCTCTGTTCAGCCCAGCTGAACAGTAGATAGAGAGAGGCCCTTTACAGGGAGGTGGGGGAAAACCCACTCATGACCGGATTTTTCTTTCTTTTTATTTTGCGGGTGGGGTTTGAGACAGGCTTTCTTTGTGTATCCTTGGCTGTCCTGGAACTCACTCTGTAGACCAGAATGGCCTTGAACTCACAGAGCTCCGCCCCGCCTCTGCCTCTCAAGTGCTGGGTTTAAAGGTGTGCACCACTGCCCAGCCACCACCTGGTTTGACTTGGATGAGACTCCAACCAGGTGTCTAGGCAAGGGTCCCACCAG